AGGAATGAACTTAGTCTTATGGTTACTAAAGTGGGAAGTAAGTACTAGATGGCATAGGGAATTAGTTGGAGCCTGCATAAGAGCCTGTAATCTTCCATAATCAATTTAAACTTATAGCAAGCTTAGCTCTTCCAAAAAATTACAGTTTAACAGCCTTTGAAGCTTCATTTTTTATAATGTTAGCTCTTTGATGTTACAAGGCACCGTACCAGCTCTTTTGCTGAATGTCCGAAGTACTATTAGATTCTCATACTTCTTCACCCAGCTCATCCTAGACTCGATTCCAGAAAATTCAATGTACGCTTCGTCCAGCACAACCAATACAGGCAGAGCAAGTATTTTCAAAAGGGTTTCATCATTGATTATACTGTCAAACAAGAAAAAATATATTTATGTCGGAATACAAGAAACATGAAAGGAAGACAATTTACGTCCATCCAAAATAATAAAAGGGGGAAAAACTGCAAAATGGTAATCAAACAACAACTTGATATAATTGCACAAGCCGCATATTCACTCAAAAATTTTGAACTTTGAAAGTCTTGTTACTCTCACAACCACCCAAAATTCACAATACGGGTCATAAAAGACAATTTGATCATGGTTGATGGAACTGTCTTCTCATTCAACTTACTTTGAAGCATGGTATTATCGTATTAAAATAACCCAGATACTAATAACTAGAAACATACTTGTAAGAATGTACATGCAGTTCCATATAACAGCACTTCTCTTCTTCCATTATGACTTTTCACAACCGTAGCTCTCAAGCCATGTATCCATTCTATTATAGTGAAAAACTTCATTTTTGAAGTCTCCATCACAGTTTCATAAAAGCTACTAACCGCTATGGTCTGGGGTTGGATGGAGAGGGGGGAACTTTTTGCTTTCACATTTTATAGTTAACGAATATGTTGCTTTAACTATTTATCGATGGGTCAAATTTTTTAGATACGTTATAAAACTCAATTGCCAAGGCCCAAATTTATAGGAAATAAGGCCTAGTTTGTTTTTATATTTAAAACTCATTTATAATTTCTGAGAAGGAAACTGACTAATATTTCTACGCCTCTTACATGTTTCCTGCCCACTGGTAGTCAGTGTAAACAATAAGACATACGTCACACAACATAATTGTGATTACTGAAAATCAGACCAGGTCAGAGCAGACACTGAAACAACATAGATACTAAGGAATATATTGGCTCAGAATATGTTCATATCAACAAAATGACTTGTAACTGGAATATGTAGTGTGTAATTTAAAAAAATAAAAAAATAATTGACACGGGAAAACTGAACAAATATGTCAACATTAATGACCTAACATGTGGTACTCAAAGCATGGTATGATATTTTAACAACAGAAAACAAGAGAAAGGACCATCAAACAGATAGACTCATCACATGATACCTCCCATCTGGATTATTAGGTGAAGTTAGGAATATGCACTTAGGTCTTTCCTGCTCAACAACATCAGCAATCCGTTCTACATCCAAGCTGAAGTCTGATTTCCGAGACACTGCCAAAAGTGAGGATATTGAATGAGAATCAAACTGTTTGGCTCAAGTTGCCAAATCATATTTTGAGTTAAAAAGTTTCTGCAAAGAGCATATCTACCTTAACATGTCTGTCTTGAACCATATTTTATTTTAACTCATTACTACTGGTGAAGATAGTAGGCATGAGGCCAGAAAAATAAGAATGTCAAGGATAACTGAGGGAGAGGGGCTTAGATAACATATGAAAGAATCCACATAAAAGATGAAAGTCAGACTCCAATTAAAAACTTAAGGTAGATGAAATATAAAATCAACCAAGCTTGTACCTACCCTTGATGACAAGTGCAGCATTAACAGCTGCATCAAACTCATACATCGTAAAGGTTGGTGGGCAGTCCACAATTTTGTCACCAGGATCCAATACGCATCTGCAGGCAAA